TTGTAGCTGTTGTTTTTGTAGCTACTGCTGTTGATTTATATGACGACGTTGTTGTTGATGACGTTGTTAATGTTATTAATGTTGTAGATGGCGAGGATGTTATGGAAAATGATTCTGCTTTTATTATCGTCGCATGGACTGATGTTGATGTCGTTTCGACTGTTGTTGTAGGTGCTGTTAAAGCTGTTGTTGTTGCTGTTGATGTTGTTGATGATGATGTTGTTGTTGATAATGTTGTTGTTGATGTTGATGTTGTTGCGGTTGACGTTGATGCTGTTGTTGATGTTGTTGTTGATGTTATTAATGCTGTTGTTGATGTTGTTGTTGTTGCTGTTGTTGTTGATGTTTTTAATGTGGTTGTTGATGTTGTTGTTTCATGAAAAAAACGAGTGTTACATGACTTAATGAGCGCTGTTTTTTGAGTGTCATCAACTAGATCGCACGTTGCATCGTCGTGTGGATTTGTTTTGCTTTGATTGTTATTGTTATTATTATTATTGTTGTTGTTGTTGTCGTTGTTGTTATGGGCGGCTTTCCCAAATGATTCAAATGTCTGATCAATCAATGGCTCAAACTCCTCTATGTTTTCATCTGAGGAAAATAATAATAATATAATAATAATAATAATAAAGAATAATAAAAACAACAACTATAATTTTATTTTTATTATTATTAATATTAGTAGTATTATAGTAGTAGTAGTAGTAGTAGTAGTAGTAGTAGTAGTAGTAGTAGTAGTAGTAGTAGTAGTAGTAGTAGTAGTAGTAGTAGTAGTAGTAGTAGTAGTAGTAGTAGTAGTAGTAGTAGTAGTAGTAGTAGTAGTAGTAGTAGTAGTAGTAGTAGTAGTAGTAGTAGTAGTAGTAGTAGTAGTAGTAGTAGTAGTAGTAGTAGTAGTAGTAGTAGTAGGAACCAAAAACATAATTAATTAAATCTGTTGCTAATACTTCCTTTGCGGTCAGATGCCCTGGTTTGTTGAACTGAAAAATTATTTCACCAATTCATCATACACACACACATACACACACACACAAAGACGCACGCACACACACACACACGCACATACACAGATACACACACGCACAGATGCGCACACAGACGCACGGACACTTAAACACACAAATTTCATTGGATTTAATGCAGTTTCACAGTTCGCACGTGTTTAATTTCTATGTTTTATGTATTTCAACTTGTATTTAGTCATTTTTTGACAGTAAGTAATAGTAGTAGTAGTAATAATATGAGTGGTAGTAGTAGTAGTAGTAGTAGTAGTAGCAGTGGTAGTAGTAGAAATAGTAGTAGTAGTATTAGTAGTAATGGTGGTATAAAGTTGTGGTAGTAAAGATTATCATCATTACAACCACAACAA